ATAATATATTAAGCCGAAGTACAATTTTCTTTCTCAAGAATGGACAGTTATAGTACATGAAACTAAACTAAATGTCTGTTAAAAAACATAGACAGCACTATCATGTAAAACATTGATGAATTGAGTGAATAGTCCTTCCACAGAAGCACCCAAAATATCAAGCTGGTGTTTTGTAAGAAAGAAGTTTATGTGGCCTGGTGTTTGACAGATGGAGGGTGACAACAGATGAGGTTTTGTACACAGCATTGATAGAGACACTGTTTCCAGAGGGAGGTTCATCAGACAGAAATCAGTCTTGAAACACACACAGAAAGCAGCCAGTCGGAGGGTGGACACATTTATGAAGGCAGACACTATAAATCCTGTCCTTTCATTGGCAGCCCATAAATATTATTACCCATGGTGTAAAATGGCTTTGAAATTGGCCATAGTCTGTGTGTACACACTTTGTATGCATGATTTGATGGCATAAATCTAGCACGGTGCCTCATAATGCTTGAAGGATGACCGAGGAATGGATATTATGAGGTTGGTACGTGCAGCCACTCTGTCAATTGATTCGTTCAAAACCCTGATTCATTCAGGACCAAAACAAATTATTCTTTTTATGAAGGAATGACTGACTGTTTTGCGGAACCAAATCTTTAATAACACTGACTCTTTAGGAACAAAACAAATGGCTCCCTCTATTAGAATATTCCTACTTAAATACTATTTAGCAGGCAAGAAAAGAATTGAATGTATTATTTGAATTCTGCAGACATTTTGCAGGCAGAGATAGTTTGTATTGCACTATGATGATGTATATTTTTACATAGTTAAAATTAAAGCATTTTAATGAATTTTCATCATAGTTAAAATCTTTATAGTTTATTGGGTTAAACTGACTACATTTACCGAGAATCAAGCAGCAGTTCATTTAGCACGTTACAATCTGACCGTATAAAATCCGCAATTAGATTTTAGTTTGACAATAATACAGATTATTTAATATAACATGAAATCAAAATGTAATTATATATTTTTTTACTTTATGTATTTTTTATTTTTATTGTACTGTGAGATATTTTTTTAATACTATATTATTACTATTACTGATATTGTTTATTTATTTATTTATTTATTTATTTATTTATTTATTTATTTGTACATAATGGGTGAGCACTTAACCAAATGTTTATGTTCTATATATATATATATATATATATATATATATATATATATATATATATATATATATATATATATATATATATTTGTTAAAACTTTATTTTGATGGTCCATTTGAGTAATAGTAGACTGTCTGCTTAATATCTGCTCCTTCAACAGACATTTAACTGATTATTAGAAACTTTGGATGTACATGTCTGTACAACTTACACTAACCCCAACCCTAACCCCGACCTAACACTATACTTATAATCTAATGAGAATTAGTTGGCATAGATGCAATGTAACTTCAATTCAACAAACGGACCATCAATATAAAGTGTGACCCTATTGTTTGTTATCATTACGATATTAATTGTTCATTAGTAGGAATAAAGTAGGATTTTATTCTGCATCCCTAATTCTACCCAAAGTATAAACCCAGCCTTCTTACCAACTATTAATAAACAGCTAATTGGTAGTTTAATAAGCTAGTAGTATTAGTTAATTGTTTGTCAATACCGTGAATTTTGATTTAAACTGAAGTGTTACCCTATTTTGGTACAATTCTTATCATTAGCAAACCATTAATTAGGAATTTTAACTTAATCTACTAAGAAGTTTTAACTCAAACCACTAATTTGCTGCGCATTAATAGTTAGTGTACCGTACAGTAGTGGGTAGGATTAGGAATGCATAATAAGTTCATACTTTATAAGCAGTAATTACTGTTATATCCAATATCATAATAATAGTCGAGTGATAAGCCCATAGTTAATAGGTGGAATTGATGTGACCCTTTTTTTTAACCTTAGCTGACCTTCATTTCTCTTGCATACACATTAACACAACCTTGAGGACCCGACATGACTCGCCCTCATGCTTCGCTTCCTTCATCCTGTTCTTTTTAGGCACCAAACACTCCAATCAATGGTATTGATCATCCCTCGGCAGACTCGACCTGTCTGAAGAATCTATCTTCAGGTGTCAGCGGAGAAAAATTTATGAACTTTAAATCTACTTCACTGCTCACACACTGATCATTCGAGCGCCGCTAGATTGTACCGCTCTGTCATAAACTGAAATAATATATCTTAACTAGATTCTTATCTGGAGTAACTGACACAAAATCACTGCAGACACTGAATTCACGACAGAGGACTGTATCATACTGATATGACATGTGAAAGGAATGTATGTTATTACAGAATGTGTACACGTAATGATGAATAATATAAGTAGTGAAATAGGAAGTGCATGAGATCCTTTCAGAAATTCACTTTTAGAAGTAAACTTTGCTGTCACTCTGTTTGCTTGTCTTTATGGCTTGACACCATTGTTGTCCTTATCAATGGCCTTTCCTCTGGTCTGCATGCTCTCTATTGATCAGACTGACAGAAAAATGGCCAGTATCGGGGACCAGATCTCTTTTAATTCCACTGCACCGCGGAGCATTTGTTTAAACTGACAAATTGTTTGTGTGTTTATTTTGTCTTTAAATTAATTTTATCTGACAGGTCGAAGCCACTGGGACAAGGGCTAGAAGTGTAACAGATTACAAAGTTGACCCTTCTGCAGTCTCAATCAATGGTGTCCGATCGTACAATGGAACTTTAGTGTTTTCACAGACATATTGGATGTTGATTCATAGTCTCTGCATTGATTTACAAAAAGGTCAGTGTTCTTCACAGATGACAATTCTTTCAATAGTATAATCCCTTGCTTTATAACAGATGACTTTGACTTTGCAATCGTCCTTTTCCCTAATCTCCTTCATTCACAGTCGGATATAAAATGTTCACGAACCAAACGTTGCTGGATACTGCAGTTCTAGGCTTTACTTATCCTTATTATAGTTATTTTATATTATTATTATTATTATTACATAGTAATTAAAATTTGGAAATGCTTGGTAATGCTTTATTTAATGGTGTCATTGTTTCCATGTTCACATGTATATATCAATTAATATTACTCTGTAGTTAATTGAATAGTTACATTTTAACAAGGACTTCTTAAAATAGTGTAACCTTTAAATAAATCAACTGTTACAATTAAAAATGTTGCTTAAAACATTGCTAAATATAGCATATAGCTAGTCTTTAAAATAATGTATAGACTATGAATGTTTTTCAAACTGTACTTTAAAATATTATGCTGACTTCTCTCACATTATTTGACAAATGAAAGGTGTATAATTGAAAAGTCTGTAAAATGTAATGTGTTAATATACATATATAGGAATTTATTTGTGGAATCTTGCATTGCATTGTTTTGTTTTAAAGGATTGCAATTTTTATGAAAAATGTGCTGGTATTTCAGCATATCATATTATTATTATCATATTTGTATTATTTTATTTATTTATTATTCTTTATCATTTAGTAAACATTCAACAATGCAACATGAAAGATGCTAAGAGTCATTGCATGCCAAGTTGCTGCATTCCTCAACATAATAGACACAGTATTTTATGTTTATAGAGACTAGAAGGGTGAGCACAGCTTGAACATTTATCATCATTATACCACAGACGTGTATATTGATTATTGCTTGTTTAAGATTGATCCCTCAGTTTACTTGAATTTAAATGTGCTTAAATCTATCCATTGTTTAGCCCATTGTATGCAAAACATGCACGAGGGCATGCGTACTTATTAAGATGTTGTCTACATACTTTCTACCTACTTAAACTATTCATTTGTTTAAATTGGATAATTGGGAAGAATCGACCCATTGGATGACCAGAGCATCTTTGCTATCCCTAAGTAATTATATGTTGAACACTGAATTCTTAACATTAAGCCGAAGCACCTTTTTAAAAAAAAGTTTATAAGGTTATCTTTCTCAAGTGTTTAATGCATGTTTAATGCAACAATCCAGCAAACCACTGAAATGAATGCATAAAATCAGATTAATCAAAGACCTGAGCTTATTTCTGAAACAACTGCAATATAAGAATAGGACTGAATAGTTAGCACTGTTATGCATTTCATATCAAATATATACTTGATTCAGTTTATAACCCATTATTGACTTTGTGAAAAGCTCAATTCCAACACACAGTTTGAGCAAACAATTTAAATGTTTACAATTCACTTTGGGGAAGCGTTCACTTGACTTTAGGTTCTAAAATAAGTGTTTAATTAGAGAGTCATGGGAAATGTGTAGCATTTGGAGTCTTTCAGGACCAGGATAGTGGTCCACTGCAGGATAGGTGGAATATACATGCAGTACTATATATTACTGCAGGTGGCGCTGTGGTGCAGTGTTTTGAGAGCTTTGCCTTGCGAAATTTTGCAGTGAATCAAGCATGCCATTATGATGCCAGCCAGCATTTTCCATATGCACCAAAAGTTTGTCAGATTGTTAGATATGAAAGTTGCCTAATGCATCCAGCCAAAACATATAACGCTGTATTAATCTATGTTTAAATCACCAGGACGATCTATAAACATTTATAATATGTTTTTGCAACTCCATGAGTTAATGTCATCCAATTGGTCTAAGTAAGAGTTTCCAGGCTCTTTTCAATTAATTATTTAATTAAATTGACGACTCACGTGAATTTTGTTATACTTATAATTTGGTTCATCTCTGATTAGCAAAATAATGAGCGTAAAATAATGAAAAGCTAATCTCCCGAATTAATGTTTGTTTTACACCCTAATCTCCAAATGATCTTGCAGATTATTCAAATCCGTAGGCTAGATGTTTTGTCCTGACTTTTTCAATTCGCCCGTGTTTCCCCCAAATCCGTTCCACGCTGTAATGCATGCATTATAGGCGCATTAAAAGGCATCGGGGTGCAGCATATGCCTCATTCATGCCAGCCGCGCGCGCTGATTGCAGCCAATGAGATTTTACAATTAGCCCAATCAGCGGCCAGATTCGGGATGTCACTGCGGGCGAGTCAGGAGGGTTTGTAAAACAAGACAGTCGCTGCGTCTCAGCAGAAAGCAACTGACTCACGCCTCTCTTCTGGTATACTTGGGAGTCAGCCGCGAACCAGTAAACTCCAAAACGCCCGCTCTGACTGCAGCGCACACGGCGCGCTCGTTCCCTGCGCGCGGAATTCCGGTTGGCGTTTTAACGCGCTTTAAATTCTGACAACCAGCGCGTCATGATGGAAACTATAGCGCGAGCGGCAGTTTTAACGGTCACCAGCGCATCAGTTTAGTCCGGAATGGGATTCTGCAGCTCGTCTGTCTTATTTTCCTGGGAAAATTAAACGCAGTGGATTTTTTCCCAGTGCCAAGACGCACAGAATCGAGTGTTTTAAAACGGCGTCTGGCTGTATTTGTGGAGTAAGAGAGTTGGGATTCCTGTAAAGGTGCCCATCATCCGCAGTGTGAGCGCGACTGCGGCGGTGAGGTGAAATCCGCAGCGAGAACAGGTAAGCGCTTGACACGGGACGACCGTTTAACGGGTTTGGTGTTTCACATCTTGAACTTGTTATTTAACGGAATAACAGCTGGGAAAGGGTTTTCGAGTAGGTAAGCGAGGCGTGTTACCTGCTGTAGTATAAGGGCGTGCTGTGAGGAGGGCAATGCACCATTCGCATCCGTGCGTTACAGGATTGTGTTCTTTTGCTCTCTGGAGCTTTTCAAAATCGGAAATAACATATCAAGATGCTTGTCTTTATATGTTTTATTAAAATGTGTAATGCTTAATGGAAAGCACACAAGCGCACAGACTGTCAACGACTCTTAAAGGGGTAGTTCATTGAAAATGATAATTCTGTCATCGCTTCCTCAACATCATGTTTATCCAGACATGTTTTACTTTCTGGTTAGCAGATGTTGAACATAATGGCATCCTTCGTCACCGTCCACTTTCATTTTATGGGGACTAATGCATTCTGTCCCGAATATTGTGTCCAGCATCAATTTCTTCCACGGAAGAAAGTCATATATGTTCGGAACAACACGATGGTTCAGTATCTTGACAGATTCTTAATTTTGGCTGAGATATACCTTTACGCACTTAAACCGTTGTTCAGTTTGTGTCATTGTGCAAGACTTGAGACGTAAATTATTACAGAAAGTGGAGCTGACGCAGTTAACACGATTTCATTATTTTTGCGCACGTTTCTGCGAGAGCGCTATTTTGTAAAGACTTGGCCAAAGATGAAATGTCACAAAGGGTGCGCTAGTCTGAAACTGCATTTAGCAAAGAATTAAAAAGTCCCGTTATTGGCACGCGGTGCGTTAACTGCGAGAGCGCAAACTTGTTCTGAGATCCGCGTGCGTGCGCGGTGCCACTCCGCGCGCGCTTTACCTGACGGCACTGGGTGGAGAGAGCAAAATCATTAAAGATTTTACAACTAGCATTTTCTGCCTTTTGCGCTGCTATTTCCAGAGACCTGGCCCTGGTGTGTCACATTGCTTCTCTTGCAGACTTTGGCTTCCCATTTATTCTTTTTATAATAGGGTCACCAATGCGCTGTATAGGGTCCGTAATGCGCTTTTATGTTGGTGCGTATAGGGCGTAATCAGATCTATCTATCTATCTATCTATCTATCTATCTATCTATCTATCTATCTATCTATCTATCTATCTATCTATCTATCTATCTATCTATCTATCTATCTATCTATCTATCTATCTATCTATCTATCTATCTATCTATCTATCTAACATTGTTTTTACTTGTCATAAATGTGAACAATGTTTGTGATTATGAATAGATCAAGATTTTCCCCTAATTTCCATGTGAATTCAGAGGCAGCTGCAGTATGTCAACTTGTTCTTTAAGGGGTCCGCTGACCATTTGAGCCATTGTCTCAAAGTAGCACATCTGCAAACCCTTATGACCGCCTCAATGCAGCATAGATCAGCTGAGGACACATCTAATAACGCGTCTTTCTGATGCTCAGTTCGGACACGTCACCACTCCTCTGCCCTGACAGATTTGTAAATGAACATCGTCTCAGTTAATACATCATGCTGTTTGCAAACTCTCTAATTGCCAGATTCTCATTGACTTCAACTCATTTTGTTATGCCTCTCTTTTGTCGGCTGAGGGTGTGAGTCTGTGGGGTTTGTTCGGCAATCTAAAGTAATGAGAGGAGTTCACACGCTTGTGGTGAGTGGTTTTCAGTAAGGAATACATTCATAGTGGGACTTCACACTCTGTATTTGGTGGTTTACGTGTATGAATTATGAATTCATGAAGATTGTGTTAATGAAGTATTTTCGCTTTTGTGAGCAGAGTGAAGTTTGTTCCCTTTGGAGACTGATAAGACAGGGCTTTTGTGCTTTGAATGGAGGATTGTTTCTGCATGTGGCCAATTGTGATTTGCCTTTCAATAACATACAGTACAGCTGTAGGTGAATGACAGTGTTTGCATTTGCATGCAATGAAGAGGCTTCTCTGTTTTCTTTTTTCATCCGTTTATTAAAAGTGTAGGTGTAGATGAATGTGTTAACACTCAGTGCAGTCAGAGTGCCCCTGAGTTTCAAGGAGAAACAGCAAGTACCATCAGACTGTGATAAAACACAAAACTTAATCATTTCAGTCCGTTCCAGCCTTGAATGCGTGACAGTCTGCTTGTCTCTCTGCCTCCTGAGAGCTTTTAGAGACCTTAAACACAGTGCTATCAGCAAGGATGAATATAATGTTGACATTTTTCAAAGTCTTTAAGTTTTTCAGAGAGAGACTTAAAGAATGACTGGAATGCACAGAATGAAAACATTATTAATACATGCAAGAGCAAGATACCTGATTAAAATATTAGAAATGCCATTGCTATTAGAATGGGCCATTTGGATTGAGCTGATATGTAGTGTGGAGGAGTGTGTGTGTTTGTGTTCACATACACTACACAGAGCAGCTGACTTGAGGCTGAATGACTGGTTTGGGAACTGCTGAATGACTCGGGAAGACACTCCCCCACATTTTTCTTATAGGTTGCTTGGTTTCTGTACCAGCCAATCCAATTTCAGTTTTGTTGTTCAATCAGATTTAGCCTTTGTATCCTCCATTAAAGTAGAATTTGAACTTGAGTTTTGCAATTGCTCCTTTTTGGGTTGATAACTGATACAGACAGTATTTACTTAATAATCTGGTTTATATGTGTTTTTAAAGAATCATTTTCACATAGAAAATTTACATGACATTATTTTTCAAACTGGTTGAGAGGCTTTCAATGTCTTACCTTTTGTTTTGCCTTTGGCAGTCTCATTTTGCAACTGTTTGTAATTTGCAGTGGCTGCATGGAAGTCCTGTTAAAGGGCTCCTATGATGAAAATCATCTTTTGTAAGATGTTTAGACCAAACTATGTGTAGCTATAGTGTGTCCACAGTCATATCAGGGTGATATAAACACAATAAGTATTTTTACAGATTTCCTGTCCTTAAAATAGGATCCAAATCCCTCCCATTTTGAGGCCCACCACAACTTGAGTGAGGTTTCCACACCCGCTGATTTGATTGACAGCCACGTTTTAACATCTCTACGCAGTAACGCAAATAATATCCACAAGACAGGACATGCACAAAGCAACTGAGATTGCGAAGATCTGTTCAGCTGGCTGTGGTTATCACCACAGCCGCATGTCAGTACATTTATAAAAGAAGATGCTTCAATCCAGGTTTGTAGACATTAAATTAGGTTTGTTTTGTACATAAAGATAACGGATGTCCATACAGCAATGGATATTAACGTGTATCCTGTCACATTTGCTGTGCAAAAACAGTGCAAAGTAAACTTTGTAATTACATCCTTGTGACTCATCATTGCAGAAAGGCTTGAATTAACTCCACAACAAATACATCAAATAATCATTGGGAAAGTTCTTACTGTAGTATTTCTCCCAAATGTTATGTGAGATCTGCTTCCTTCATGTCTGTCGCTGTGCTGCTTATCTGATGCAGCCGAGGTGGAGATAGAGGCTCAGTCTGACAGGCACGTGGGAACGGTGGGCGGGGAGAACTAGCATTATAGGCGCAGGCAACAAAAACAGCTATATTGTGTTTAGAGTAGAAAATCTCAATAATCCTAAAGGTGTAATAAATAATCTGATGGGTCTTTTGAGATGAAACTTTACAGACACAGTCTGGGGACACATCAGATTTATCTTAAATCTTGAAAAAGGGGTAAAATATTTGCCCTTTAATTCACAAGAGGACAAACCATCAGGACATCATGCAATCCTCTTGATGGCATATAAACTAAATAAAAAGTGGAATCAAACGTCACAATTTTTAATGAGTTTTATACATTTGCTATTATGTAAAATGTGTAACAGAACATGCATATATTTACCTATAACCCAACTAAGAAGTTACTTTATGAGCTAACTGTATGAAACTGGTCTTGGGTTTTGACTAAAGAACAGCTTGGTAAAACACAACAGCCAACAGAATCTAAGAGGAAGAAAAATCAATTTTTGTAATCTTGTTGTGCTTAATGAGACTCTGCTTGACTTTGCCTCTACTGGCATGTTAAAAGTGTGTGTGCGTGTGTGTGTGTGCGTGCGTGCGTGTGTGCGTGTGTGTGTTTGTTAGGATAAACGAACCATTTACCTAAACCTTTTGTTATGATAGGGTTACTACAACAGATTTTACAACTTGCCCTTGTACTGTTTTTGTTACCTTATCAACAAACACATGTTTTACGCGTTTAGCATGCAGTTTCTTTGGAAATGTGTACCTGGAAAGTATCTTTGTGCATTGGAAAAACCAGGTTTATTTGTGTAGTAAATATTTGTGTTAGGAATGTGGAAAGATTTACTGCATATGCACATCTGCTCTTGTCATGTGCAGTTCTGTGTGTGACTGGATGGGATTGTCTGTAGGTAAATGTGTGAATTGCGAGTGACAGTTCTGTCTGCTTGTGACATCTTAAGAATAGACCCCTGCTGTGCGTCCCCCATGTCCCACCGTGTGTGCATGCTGGTGTGTACGTGAGCCCATGTGTCTGTGTGGATAATGAGGAGAGAGTGATTTCCGCCAGTGTGAAACTCTGCTTTCTATCACCACTGTGGCACACGTGAGTCCTATTACAAGACTGTCCATCTTTGTGTGTGTATGTATATAATCATTTATAATTGTATTTTTTTTTCTTTTAGAACAACTTAAGTCTTGTGGTTACAGTGTGTTTCAGTTGGATACATGTCTACTTTTCACTGGCACTTCGCTTGTGAGATGCAGATAATCTAGAAATGGAAATGTAGTAGGGGCAGGCTTTGGATTTGACATTTATGTGGTGTTATTAAGACAAGTGTTTAAAGTTCAGTGTTAGACTATACACACATGCCTTGTGACCTTATGTGCCAAAAAATGGGCTAGTAGTGGGCAAAGGTTGTCTTGTTCGTGTTTTTTAAAGGGATAGTTCATCCAGAGAGGAAAATTCAGTCATCATTTATTTACCAGGCCCATAGCCAGGTGGT